TTATGCTGAATAAGATTTGTACATTCACTGTCTTTTTTTTTTTTTTTTGATTGAGTGCATTCCCAAACTTGAGAAATTGAAGCCTTACTGGTTTGAAGTGTCAAAGCAAAGGGCTCAGGACTGGCAGAGCAGCTGGAAATTTAGAGGAACCTCAAGGTGGATGGATCCCCAAATCTCAGTAGGAACTGTCCCATTCCTTGACTGCTAAACTCCACTGGCATAAGAGCACCAGGCTAGAAAAGCAGCAGCTAGAAGTTAAAAAAAAATTAAGCAGAGATATTAGCTGCTACACCCTGCTGGGAAGAGAGTTTGTAGTTTGAGTCTAGGAATGTTACTGCATGCTAGAATATAAAAAGATAATAATCCTCAGAAGAATAAAACAGAAACTAAAATCAATAATATATTATCTACAATCTTTAGTTTCTGATCCAATATTACCAAACATATATCAAAACAGGAAAGTATGACCCACATTCAGGAAAAAGTCACTCCATTGTAACTTACTCAAAATGGGCCCAGCTGTTGGATTTATCAGATAAATATTTCAAATTGGCAATTATAAATATGCTCAAAGAAGTAAAGGGAAACATGGTCTCAGTGAGCAAACAGACAGGGAATCTTGAGGGATGGGAACTATAAAAAATACAAATAAGAATTCTAGAACTGAAAAATACAATATAGAAAAAAATTGAGAAGATAAGCACAATAGCAGATGGCAAATGGCAGACTTTAATTTATAGATTAAAGAAGTTCAATGAGCCCCAAGCTGAAAAGATACAAAGAAAACCACACTTAGGTGCATATAGTCAAGCTATTAAAAACCAGAACTGTACAATATATAAAGAGATCATTTTACTGTGTGCATATACACTGTGTGTGTGTACTTAATACCTCAATTAAAATATCTTAATGCAACCCAAAGAAGGAAATAAAGATAGGAGCAATAATCAATGAAATAGAAAAATAGGACAGTGAAGCTTATGAAAACAGAGCTGGGTATTTGAAAAAGCTGATAAAAGTAATAAATCACTAGCTAGACTGGTCAGGAGAAAAAAAGGCAAATTACGAATATCAAGAATGACAGAACGGACATCATCAAAGATCCTAAGGCATTAAAGGATGGTGGAGGATTATTACCAACAACTTTGTGCCAATAATTTGACAATTTAATTGAAATAAATGAATGACATCAAGGACAAATTACAAAAATTAACTCAAGAAATAAAACCTGAATAGCCTAATATCAATTAAGAAAATTGAATTTGTAACTAAAAACCTTCAAACAAAGTAAAATGCATGCCTTTATTGGTGAATTCTATCCAACATTAAAGAAGAATAATATGAATGCCATGCAAACCCTCCAGAAAACAGAAGAGTGAATACTTTCCAAATCATTTTATGCAGCAAGCCTTATTACTCTGATCCCAAAACTAGACAAAGACATTACAAGAAAAGAAAACCATAGACCAATATCCCTCAGGAACATAGATATAAAATCCTCCACAAAATATTAATCAATCCAATCCAGTATTATATATATATACAGAGAATATATCATGAGAAAGTGGTATTTATCCCAGGAACTCAAAGTTGTTTTAACATTGAAAAAGCCATGTAATCTAACATAGAACAGAATAAAGAAGAAGTCATCATACGATCATCTCAGAAAATAAAGAAAAAATATTTGAAAACATTTGACAACACATACATGACAAAAACTCTTAGTAAACTAGGGATAGAAGGGAACTTCCTTAATTTGATAAAAAGCATTTACCCGTAAAACCTACAGCTAACATCATACTCAGTGTTGACAAACTGAATGCTTTCTCTCTAAAATCGGGGGACAAGATGTCCACTCTCATCATTTCTATTTAGCATCAAATTGGAGGTCCTAACCATTGACATCAGGACAGGAAAAAAGGAATATGGATTATAAAGGAAGAATAAAAGCTTCTTATTTGATCACGACATTATAGCATATATGGGAAATCTTAGAGATTCTATAAAAAAACTATTAGGACTAATAAGTGAGATTAGCAAGGCCTCAAGATTCAAGATGAATATAGAAAAGTCCATTTTATTTCTATATACTAGCAATAAAAACACCATTTATAGTAGCATTCAAAATGTGAAATAATTGATGATAAATTTAACAAAATATGTATAAAATCTGCACAGGGAAGACCGTAATATACTACAGAGAGAAAGTAAAGAAGACCTAACTAGGGAGATATATTCATGTATTAGAAGGATCAATGTTAAAGTGTTAAATCTCTCTAACTTGACCTATAGATTGAATACAAACCCAATTACTATTCAAATGTCTAGAGAATTGACAAGCTTATTCTAAAATCTATATTAAAATGCAAAGGGTCGAGAATAGCCAAAATAACTTTGGATAAACAGAGCTGGAAGATTTATGTTACCTGACTTAAAGACTATTATATAGTTCATGAAACAAAATTGTTTTGGCTCTTCTAGTTCTTTTGCATTTCCAAGTGTAAAATACATAATTAAGTATGTAAAGCAATTAGAATTCTCATATATTGCTGGTAGAAATATGAATGGTACAACAGCCTGGATACTTCTCATATAGTTAAACATATACTTACCTTGTGGTTCATAAAATCTCCTCTTAGGTGTTTACTCAAGAGAAATGAAAACAAGTTTGCACACTAGGATTCATAGTTAAATGTTCACAGCAGCTTTATTCATAATACCAAAAGCTGAAAACAATACAAATGTCCATTTATTGGTGAAGGGATAAATAAACTGTAGTATATCCATACGATGGAATACTACTCAGTGACCAAAGGGAGCAACTGCTGATATGTGCAACAACATGGATGAATCTCAAGATCATTGTGCTAAGTGAAAGAAGTCAGACAACAGTATGATTCTATTTACATGAAATTCTAGAGAGTTAACACTAAATTATTGAGACAGAGGGCTAGGACTGGGAGGATTAAATACAAATGGGCAAGAGGGAATTTTTTTGGGTGGCAGAAATGTTCCATACTTTTTTGGGGGTGGTGATTATACAGTACTATCCATTTCCAAAACCTATGTAACTGTTTACTTTAAATTGGTGCATTTATGTATTTACATGCAATTTGTATATAAATTGCATACCAAAGTTGATTTAAAAACCTTCAATGAATTCCTATAGGCATTAGGATAAATCCAATGAGGAAAGAAGTTCCTGTAATGTCTAACCTCTACTTATGTCTCCAGCTTGATCTTGAGCCAGTCTCTGCCTTACTCTCTGCTCCAGCCATGTTGGGCTTCTCTCGTTCAATGGAACACGTTATGCTCTCTCCCAGCTCTTTACCTTTGTAGCTCCTCTTCCTTAAGTGGTCCCTCTTCCGTCAACTCTTATTCATCCTTTAGTTCTTTCTCAAGAAAGCCATCCCCCAAATCTTGGACTAGGATAAGATCCTTGGGATATGCTCCAAGGGCACCTCTACTTTTTCACTACTCTTTGTATAATAATAATTCTTTACTTTATTATCAAATATCATGTATAGAGTATGTTTTCGTCCTCTACATTTGAAGCTCCATGAAACCAGGGATATCTATTTTGTGCACCACTCTTTTCCCAGTGCCTGATATAAAGGAAACCTTTATATATTTGCTAGCAAATCAAGCAAATAAAAAGATGAGGGGCCAGCCTGGTGGCACAGCAGTTAAGTTCGCACGTTCTGCTTTGGCGGCCCACGGTTTGTCGGTTCAGATCCCAGGTGCAGACATGGCACCGCTCGGCAAGCCATGCTGTGGCAGGCATCCCACATATAAAAAAAAAGTAGAGGAAGATGGGCACAGATGTTAGCTCAGGGCCAGTCTTCCTCAGCAAAAAGAGGAGGATTGGCAGCAGCAGTTAGGGCTAATCTTCCTCAAAAAAAAAAAAAAATATATATATATAATCTTGGGGCTGGCCCCCTGGCCAAGTGGTTAAGTTTGCGTGCTCCACTTTGGCGGCCCAGGGTTTCCCTGGTTTGAATCCTGGGCACGGACATGGCACCACTCATCAAGCCATGCTGGCAGCGTCCCATATGCCACAACTAGAAGGACCCACAACTAAAAATACACAACTATGTACCAGGAGGCTTTGGGGAGAAAAAGGAAAAATAAAATCTTTAAAAAAAAAGATGAATAAACAAAAATCTAAAAACCCTAAGTAAAATATTAGCAAATTGTATTTAACAATATATTAAAAATAATACATGATGTTAAGTAGGGTTTATTTTAGGAAATAAAGGGAAGTTTAGTATTTGAAAGTGTATTATATAATTATTCCATTAACATAACAAAGAAGATAAGTTGTCTTCATAGATAGGAAAAGGAATTAGATGAAATTCAACACATCTCCCAATTAAAAAAAAAATCTCTTAGTGAACTAGAAAAAGGTTGCTTTAACATGATGAATATTTGAAACTAACATTGTAGCTAACAGTGAAACCCTGGAGACAAGGGTACCGCTTGCCACCATTAGCAGGCAACATTATTCAAGAAACATTAGCCAATGCGATAAGGCCAGAAAAAGAAAATCAGAAATTGACACAGTTATATATGTAGATTATGATTGTCTATCTGAAAAACCCAGGATCATTAAATGAAAAATTTTAGTAAGCAAGTTCTGTAAGGTGGCCAGTTACAAAATACATGAACATATATTATAAAAGAAATCTATTTAAAACAACGCAGTACTGGCACGAGAATAGACAGATCAACGGAATATATTAGAAAGTGTACTGAGAGACATAAAACTTTTGCCATATAATAAATTACTATGAAACTGACCATTGGAGAAGCACAGATTATTTAGTTACTTATATTGGGACATTACGGACAAACAGATTTTAATACAAAACCATGGATTGAAGTAATATTTCATAAGTTCATAGTATGTCATTTTATATATTTTCTTAATTGGAGATGTTGATTGTTTTCTTTTCCATTTGCCCTGGCACCACACCCCAACATTCCTAAACAAGCCTTACCGGCATGGTGATCTGAATGGGTTGCCGTTCTCCACTCTTGGTTGGGGCCACACCTTCTGTGTCATACATGCCCGTATAAACAACTCTGTCCCCATCAGGCTCTTTAGACTTCAGCTCCAGTGGGACAACCACACCACCAATGGAAATGTTCCTGCAATGGACTTGAGTTGATTATATATGGTAGGAATTAGCTTAGGCACCCTGTCCTGGACTGGACTACAACCCTAGGCAGGAACCCTACAGGGTGTGGCTAAAGGAGACACTGTAATATGCTAGAAAGTTCAGAAAGTTTGGGAGGCTTGAGTTCTCCAGCTAACCAGCAATGTGGACCCTAGACCGACTACATAATCTCTCCGAACTGACCTCAGTATTCCCATCCAGAATACTTGTACAAGACCAAGTCAGACTCTTTGAGCAGTCCTCCTCTTTAGTTTCCATCTGTGGGGCTATCAAAAACCTACCTATACCCAGCCCCATCCTAAACCCCAGAGATTAGGACTCAGTTGGTCTGGAGTGTGGTTTGGGCACTGGTACATTTATTTTAAAGTTCCCTAGGTGATTCTAATGTGCAGGTAGGATTGAGAGCCACTGAACTAGTTCTCTAATGATTTTTTCTGTTCCAGCAATCAGGGGTCCCATGATATGGGATACTCTTCCTCAAGCCAGCCACACTATGAGAAATTCTCACTAGCATTATTCCCTTGTGTTAGGGTAATGGTTCTCAAAGTGTAGTCCCTGGACAAGCAGCATCAGTTTCACCTACCAACCTATTAGAAAGTAAATACTTAAGTCCTACTCTAGTCCAAGTAAACTAGAAACTCTAGGGTAGGGCTCAGTCAACTGTGTTTTAATAAGCCCTCCAGGTGATTCTGATGTACACACAAATTTGAGAACCGTTGGGTTAGTGCACAGAAAAACACTTGAAAAAGTAAAGTGTAACTAGAAAAAAATAGTTTTAACATTAACACAATTTGTTTTTAGTTTAGCTTGAAAAATAGAGGAACTACCCTGAAGAAAATGGCATATAGAGCAGATAACTTGGGAAAAGAGGTTGCCAGGAAAGAAGGGAAAGGAAAAGTCTGGATCATATAGAGATGCACAGAACACTGGGAAATGTGAGGGTAATGGGGGCATGGAGCTGTGGGGGATGCTGACAAATAGATGGACTGGAAGCATCAGAAACAACCCAGGTTGGGTTCTAGGTCCTTGAATTCAGGCCTGCACCTAGAAAGCCCATACAAGTTTATTGAATGAACGACTACGGATGGACACTTGAGCTGTAAAAGATGTCTGATGGATTCAAAGTCTGCCCCACCCCCACTCCCAGGCTCAGCATATGGTAGATACAATATATCCTGGTTTATTTTCTCTTTCCACGCTAGACTTCACCCCATGCTTAGGCTGAAGCTGAGAGGTAAAGGACTCCACTCCTGGATCCTTCCCCATGGGCTAGTGCACTCTCCCATACTGACTTTCCAGCCAGAGGTCTACTGGGTGCATCAGTCTGTGGTAGCAGGGAAGAGATAATCCCTGCCACGAATAAATCAGAAAATATCCTTTTGTTGTAAGGATGCTGCTAATCCCAGGCACCACCACAGGCTGAACGGACAACTCAGGGAAAGAGAAAAACGCCAGGCAAAGAAACCGTGAAACTAGGCCTAGGCAGAGGCTGCCCTCTGACTTGTGGCTGCTCCTCCTGCCCCGGGGTCCCGGCCACGTAAGGGCAGATGGAGGAGTGCGGAGCATCCCTCAGGGAGCCCTAATAACGGCACCCCCCCCCCCCCCCCCCCGCCTTTACACCTCGTTCCTCAGCCTTTTTCCCTCCTTCAGCCTTGCAGGCAGAACGGGGCTGGACGCCAGGACCCGGGAGAGCAGCACCGGGATTGCGGTAGGTGAACCCCGCGGCAAGCTTCTCCCTTCTGGCCCACCCCGGCTGCTTGGGGGTCCGCACTGAAGGCTGGACAGAAGGGATGAGAAATTTATAAGAAAAGACACCCCACCCCCACCCCTGGCTTCCCGTCGCTGTTTTAAACATCCCTCACCACAATGGGTGGAGGAAAGAGAGAACAGAGGAAACATAAGTCTAAGGTAGAAGAGGGGACTAAGCGCAGCAGGGACCTGGCCTCTTCTCCCAACGCCCTGGGCCCGCTGGGCGCGGCGAGAGGCAAGAGGGGCCCGGGAGAGACTCAGGCTGTCCCGGGGTCCTCGGTCCTCCGCGCATACCCTAAGCGGGGCTGGTCAGCCGCGGCACGCGCCCGCACTCACTCGACCTGCAGCGTGGGGGGCTTAATCTTCACCTCCACCTTGTAGGAGGAGCCGGTGAGCAGCTTGATGGTGCGGTTCTGGCCGAAGCGCTGCCCGTCCACCTTGAAGAAGACCGGGCCGTCATTGGGCTGGATGCGCAGCGCGATGGAGAGGCGCACGAGGCCCGGCAGGTCCCCCATGGCTGGGCGCGGGGCGGGCGCGGCTTCTTCGGGGGGCAGAGGACAGCGCTGGCTGCGGCCGAGCGGCTGGAGCGCGGTGGGCGGAGAGGAAGCGCCGGGAGGGAGAGGGAGGTGGCGGAGGGGAGGCTGCCTCTAGGAGCCCGCGCCGTCGCGGCCGTCCGCTCGGGCTTTTGAGGAGCAGCTCCAGAGGCTGTGGCCCCCCGCCCCACACAGCGAGCAAGCGCGCACCAGAGACAGCTCCGAGGCCCCCAGCTTCCCCATCCCCCGCTCTCCGTGCTGCGCCCACCGCGCACCCGTGGCCTCGCTCCGGCCCGCAGGCCGCTGGAAGATCAGCGCAGCTGGGGACGAGAGAGTTAATCCTGTTTACGCACCGCAATCCCCTTCAGTGGGGGAAGGGGACATTTAGGCTCCTCCTTGTGCGGCTCGGGGCGGGCGGAGGAGAGGATTGGGAGGGAGGAGGTAGGCACTGGGGTTAAGCGACACTACACCAAGGAGCGAGACCTCGGAATCTGGATATCACCTTGGTCAACTAAGGGATGTGGACACCATTGCTCACGGATCTGGCCCCAGTTAAGCGGGAGGAGGCTGAGAAGCGAAAGGGAGACGGGAAGCGAGGGCAGGAAACCGTTAGCCAGTGACTTAAATTTCAGGAAATCAGTCTTTCCAAAGCTTAGAGGAAATGGCCGAGGGAAGGCGCAATTCCATCTAATGTGGACAGCAAGCCACAGTTGATTAGGAGCGTGCGCAAAAAGTAAAAGAAAATAACCAATACATATGCGGAGAGCTACGCCTTCTCTTGGTGTGTATTTTCATTATGCATATCTTTGTCTCAAGAATGACTCGGTGTAATGAGTCACGTACATTTACAAAGATCTTAAAGGATGAGCTATTAATCCTGTAAAAGACAACCGGCGTGTGTGTCTAAGGCATAGCTGGTGACAATGGCCAAGAGGAGGGATTGGTCGAAAGATTATTGGTAGGGCACGCAGAGCGACACCGCACAGTTTAGATTTACATATTAAGCGTGTCTAGAGAGTCTTCATGGCAGAAGTCGGTTGACAGTTCGTGATTTTTGAATCAAAGGGAGCCAAAGGTCTCAGGGCTCTACAGGGAACGGCTTCAGACAACAGAGTGAGCACCTGCTTCAGCACCACATAGGTGGATAGTACCAGAGCCGGTGAGCACACCTGGGGAGTGGAGAAGCGGGTTAATGAGGACAAAGGGGTAGAGATGGGTCTGTTTGGTTAGTTTTTGTCCACCCAGGTTAGTACTGCTTTTCTTTAGGAATAGCATCATCTCGAAAGTGATTTGTTTCCTACACTATTCTACAAAAATAAATCAGCGTTAGCTCTCATTTCAGAGTTGTTCGCAATATTCCCTACACTACCCTTTGAATAGTATTAAACTCCGTAGGGCTGCAGGATTTTGTGTGATTGTCCGCTTCTCTGACATTGGATAGATTTGCTGGCCACACCACAGTTACTGACATTAAATCTTATCCCTTCTTAAAAAAAAAAAAAACTGATGTATATTCCTTATCAATAATGTATCTTGGTTCCCCAGTAAGACTTTGGGGGCAGGAGCTTTGCTTCCTCAGATCACCCGATAATGTCTGCCGCAGAGTCTTCTGCAAGGAGACCCTTCAAATATTTGCTGATTTAACCAACTTGTTCAAGCTTCTCTAAAAGGGAGCAAGTAAGACTGGAGGGAGTGGCTTGAAAATGTTCCTGGCAGCAAAGGCACTTTGTGTAGTGGTTAAGCCCAGAAGCACCACAATCAGACTTCTTAAAATCCCCACTTTACCACTTTGCCAGTTGTGTGACCTTGGGTAAGTTCATAACCTCTTGGAACTGGTTTTCTTATCTGTAAAATTTGTGAGTGGAAGCAGACACTACCTCTCTGAATGGGTTGTTGTGAGGATCAAATGTGATGATGCACCTTCCAGTGGCTGATTCTAATTCAATTATTATCGAGTGGAAATGCAAATGGTCAATAAACATGTATAGGATGCTCAACCATCTCTAGTAGAAGAGCCAGAGGAATGCAAATTAAATCAGTAGCATCAAACTATTTTTGGCCCATCAGCTTGGCAAATTTTTATGTGTGTTTGTGAGGAAGGTTGGCCCTGAGCTAACATCTGTTGCCAATCTTCCTCTTTTCTTTTGGTTGAGGAAGATTGTCACTGATGTAATATCTGTGCCAACCTTCCTCTGCTTTATGTGGGATGCCACCACAGTGTGGCTTGAAGAGCGCTGTTAGGTCTGTGCCCAGGATCTGAAACTGTGAACCCCGGGCCACCGAAGCGGAGGACACGAACTTAACCGCTATGCCACTGGGCTGGCCCCTTGGCAAATTTTTAAAGACTTAAAACTCATTGTGGGTAAAGAGGGAGGAAATCAAAACTATTATAAGCTGGTAGAAAAATATAATTGTTACAGCTTTTTATTAAAATTAATCTGATGAATTTATTAAAAGTTTAACCATGTATACATATATATGTTGAATCAGCAATCCTACATTTAAAAACCTATCCTTCAGAAGAGATAAAGGCTCATTACATTGAATACATGTAATATGAGTGTTTACTGCAGCACTGATTGTAAAAATCAAAAAAAAGCATAAACTGAATGTCAAACAAATTAATGGCTAAATAAATTCTCATGTACCCATACTATAGAACTTATGCCACTGTTAAAATAATAAATTATATGTTGTATTGACAAACATATGCTAAAACTGTTAATGATAAAAAGTGAAGTGGCTATGCAGTGGCAAGCTGTGGAAGCGTGAGGGCAGTCATTTTTGTCTATATGTTCATTGCTGTATCCCCAGAACGCACAGGACAGTACCTGACATATAGTAAGTGCTCCATAAATGTTTCTTGAATTGAATTTCTGTCCTCATTTTAAACATGTTCGTATGTAAATTCTTCCATATCTTGAAAAGTAGCTAGTTAGATTCATATGATTTATCTGGAACAATGTAAAGAGAAGAAAATCTAATTGCAAATAATATTTATAGTATGATGGTATTTTAAACCACTAAAAAATTTTAAAATCATATAAATTTGTGTATGTTTCTATTAGCACTTAGAGGTATACAGCAAATGCAATGGTTACTCTGGTAGATGGGGACTAGAAAGAGGGTGATGCTCTTCTGGAATGATTATTATTAGTACTACTTTTTTGCTTGAGGAAGATTAGCCCTGAGCTAACATCTGTGCCAATCTTCTTTTTGCCTGAGGAAGATTGTCGCTGAGCTGACATCTGTGCCAATCTTCCTCTATTTAGTATGTTGGTCGCTGCCACAGCATGGCTGAGGGGTGGTGTAGGTCCATGCCCAGATCTGAACCTGTGAACCTGGGCTGCTGAAATGAAGCACACCAAGCTTAACCACTCTGCCACAGGACTGGCCCCCTCTTCCGGAATTATTTAGAACTCTTTTTGGAAATTTCGCTTTTTTCTCAACTTTTTGTTCCACAATCGCACAGTCTCAAGCCAGCTTGCATCCGTGTACTGAAGAGAATGTTGGCCATGGAGTAAGATGACTTCAGTTTCAATCCTGGCTCAGCTTCTAATTAGCTTCTTTATGCAGTGCACTTAAAATCTTTGCATTTCAGTTTTCACTATTTGTAAAATGGGAATTAAAATACCTCTTTCCCAACATTGCGAGAATTAAATGAGAAAATGGAAAGCATTTGGAACATAAATTACTTTTCAAATATGAGGTATTACTAATGCTGGGCAACACGCATTGGGAATAACATTTTCAGAATCATAAGATGCAACTTAAAATGGAATTAATAAATCCAAAAGTAACTGGAAAATTTCTCATCACTGACACGAATGTGCAAAGAATATGGAGTCTAATGGATCTGTGTTTGTATCCCAGTTCTGCTGAGTACAAGCTGGGTGACCTTGAACAAGCCAAGCTACTTAGCCCCTCAGACACCCAGTGTTTTCATTTGTACAATGATGATGGTAACATATATGCTGCTCATAGAACCAAATGAGATTATATAAAGCACACAAGAGTATCAGTCACATATAGATAGTCAATAAATTGTAGCTATTTTTGTTTATTTGAAAATATATTTAGGGGCCAGCCCAGTGGCGTAGTGGTTAAGTTCTTATGATGTGCTTTGGTGGCCTGGGGTTCGCTGGTTTGAATCTGGGCATGGGCCTATGCGTTGCTTATCAAGGCATGCTGTGACAGGCGTCCCACATATAAAGTAGAGGAAGATGGGCACAGATGTTAGCTCAGGGCCAGTCTTTCTCAGCAAAAGAAGAGGAGAATTGGCAGCAGATGTTAGCTCAGGGCTAATCTTCCTCAAAAAAAAAAAAAAAAAACACCAAAAAATATGTTTACTATATTTACTATATTTTTTAAGATGTCTAGCATTATTACCTCAAATTGATGACCTTAAACATTGTCTGTCAACAAGGCAACCATTATTACCATTCTTTTGGAATTGTTATATTAAGCTTGAATGGTGGGTGTGGTAGAGGAATCAGGCTAACAACATTCTGTGTCCACTGTCCCAGTTTCTGTGCTGAATTCATATTATAGACCTCAAAAAGTAATCACTGTTATGACCTGGGACATAGTTGTGTGTGTGGGGGGATTGTGGGTGTGTGGTGGGTGTGTGGGTGTGTGTATATGCATAAACATACATGTAAAATCCAATCCCAACACATTTTATTTTTCATTCAATCTATGTTCAGGTACAGTTTAACATCTGCAGGAGTTATTTCTTATTTTTATTTTTAAATCAGTGTCCATGGTTTATGATTTGCCATATGCCTTCCCTCCTCCTGCCTCTGGATGTCTTAGCATCAGACATCTCAACCAGTTCACTGTACATTTGTACTAGGACTTCCTCTCTTATTCTGATTTGCTCAACTTGAAGACAAAGCCATCCTTCTGGACCAGTTCTGAAGGATTCAAGTCCTACCTTAGGCCCAAAGGATTTTGCAGCCATGGTGATGAGCAACAGGCTTCCTTTTTGTCTGCTGGCCTCTAGGGGGAATCTGGTTACCTCCTCGCACAGTCAGTGGTGCAGACTCTGGCTCGGTGATGGTGATCCTTACATCCATTCTTGCTTGCATTTGTTCTGGGCCAATGTAACATAGGAATTTACATTCCAGACAAAACTTTCACTGTTTCCTGCTATGGATGTTATCTGTGACCAACCAGGACAGTAGTATTCACTTTTTCTCCACAAATGTAAATAAATATTCAGTTAAAACTAGGTTCTGTAGAGATGGCTTTCTACTCTTTCTGAAATTGATACAGACCTTTTAAAAAAATTGTGGTAAAATATGCCAATAAAATTGACTATTTTAACCATTTTAAAATGTACAGTTCTGTGGCATTAAGTGCATTCCTTG